CAAAATCATGAGGATAGTGTAAGGAGCCTCTGGGACAACTTTAAGCATTCCAACATTTGCATCATAGGGGTGCCAAAGAAGAACAGAAAGAACAAGAAATTGAAAATCTATTTGAAAAAATAATGAAAGAAAACTTCCTTAATTTGATGAAGGAAATATACATGCAAGTCCAGGAGGCACAGAGAGTCCCAAACAAGATGGATGCAAAGAAGCCCACTCCAAGATACAACATAATTAAAATGCCAAAGGTTAAAATAAGAGAGAACTTTAAAGGCAGCAAGAGGAAAGTAGTTAATTACCTACAGGTGAGTTTTTCTAAGACCGGCATCTGATTTCTCAAAAAGAAATTTTGCAGGCTAGAAGGGATTGGCACGACACACTCAAAATCATGATAAGCAGGTACCTACAGCCAAGATGACTCTATCCAGCAAAGTTGTCATTTAGAATCAAAGGGCAGTTAGAGACCTTCCCAGACAAGAAAATACTAAAGGAGTTCAGCATCACCGAACCATTATTGTACAAAATGTTAAAGGGACCTATTTAAGAAAAAGAAGATCAAAACTATGAACAATAAAATGGCAACAAACATATACCTATCAACAATTGAATCTAAAAATAAACTAAGCAAACAAGAACAGAGACAGAATTATGGATTGGTGACCATATGGAAGGTGACCACATGGAAGGTGGTTGGGAAGAATGGATGAAGAGGTGAGGGGATTAAGAACAAATAGGTAGTTACCTAATAGCCATGGGGATGTAAAATAAAGTACAGTATAGGAAATGGAGTAGCCAAAGGACTTACAAAGTCATGACCCATGGACATGAACAATGGTGTGTGGATTGCCTGAGGGACTGTGGGGTGCTTAATGGAAGGTAACAAAAGGGGGAAAATTGGTACAATTTTAATATTATAATCAATAAAATATAATCAAAAAAGGAAAAACAAAAGATAAAAATCATATCTTATCAATAGATGCAGAAAAAGCAGTTGATAAGATACAACATCCACTGATGATTAAAACACTCAATGAAATGGGTATAGAAGGAATGTACTTCAATATAATAAAGGCCATATATATGAAAAACCCTCAGCCAACATCATACTCAATGGTGGAAAACTGAAAGCTTTTCCTCTAAAACCAGGAAAAAGACAAGCATACTCACTCTTACCTCTCTTATTCAACATAGTACTGCACGTATTAGCCAGAGCAATAAGGCAAGAGAAAGATATAAAAGGCATCCAAATTGGGAGTGAAGAAATAAAAATATCACTTTTGCAGATGACATGATTTTGTATACAGAAAACCCTAGACTCCACAAAAAAACTGTATTAGAAACAATACAGTAAATAAGTGTACAAAACCAATGTACAAAACCCACTGCTTTTCTGTTTACTAACAATAAAGTTTCAGAAAAAAAACTAAAAAAAAAAATTTCAATTGCAACCAAAAGAATAAAACACCTAGGAATAAACTTAAGATACTGAAAACTTCAAAGCATTATTAAAAGAGATGGAAAAAGACACAATGAAAAGGAAATGTATTCTGTGTTCATGAATTGGAAGAATCAACACAGTTAAAATGGCCATATTACCTGAAACAATATACAAACTTAATGCAATCTCCTCCAAATCACCAATGTCATTTTTTAAATAAATAAGAACAAAAAATCAGATTTGTATGGAACCACAAACAACCCCAAATAGCCAAAGCAATCCAGATTAAAAAGAAATAAAGCCAGTATAATTTGAATTCACTGCCTGATTTCAAGTTATACTACAGAGCTACAATAATCAAAACAGCATGGTATGGTGGGGGAAGAGACAGAGAGACACACAGACCAATGGAGCAGAATTGAGCCCAGAAATAAACCACATATACACGGGCAAATAATTTTTGACAAAGGAGCCAAAAGCACACGATGGAAAAAGAAAGCCTTTATAATAGACAGTGCTGGGAAAATTGAAAAGCCACATGCAAAATAATGACTAGATTACAGTTTGTCCTCATGTACAAAAATTAATTCAAAATGGATCAAACACCTAAATATAAGATCTAAAGCAATAAATTACATAGGAAACATAGGTACTAAACTTATGGACTTGGGTAGCAGAGAAAATTTTACAGGTTTGACTCCAAAGGCAAAGGAAGTAAAGGCAAAAATGAATGAATGGGACTACACCAAAATAAAAAGCTTCCGCACAGCAAAGAAACCGACAACAAAACACAAAAGCAACCAATTTAATGGGAGATGATACCTGCAAACAAAAACTCCAACAAGGGATTAATAACCAAAATATATAGAGAATTTATACAACTCAACACCAAGCAAACAATCCAATTAAAAAAATGAGCAAAGGACCTGAACAGACACTTCTAAGAAGACATATGAACAGCCCACATATCCATGAAAAGATGCTCAATTTCACTAGCTATTAGGGAAATGCAGATTAAAACTACAATGAGATACCACCTCACAACTGTTAGTATAACTATTATCAATAGAAATGGAGACAAGCCCTGGCTGGTGTAGCTCAGTGGATTGAGTGCGGGCCTGCAAACCAGACAATCGTGGTTCAATTCCCAGTCAGGGCACATACTGGGGTCGCAGGCAGGTTCCCTGCAGGCCAGGTCCCAGCAGGGGACACATGAAAGGCAACCATACATTGATGTTTCTCTCCCTCTCTCCCTCCCTTCCCCTCTAAAGATAAAAAATAAAATCTTTAAAAAAAAAAAGAAATGGAGACAACCACTGTCCTTCGATAGAGGTTTGGATAAAGAATATGTGGTTCATATATACAGTGGAATACCACGTAGCCATAAGAAAAGATGAAATACTGCCATTTGTGACAACATGAATGGACCTTGAGAATATTATGCTAAACAAAATAAGTTAGTCAGACAAAACTAAGAACCATCTGATTTCACTGATGTGGGATATAAAACTAAAACTCAAAGACAAACCACAGTATGGTCATTACCAGAGGGAAGAGGGTGGGGTGGTGACAAAGGGGGTCAAATATATAATAATGGAAGATGATTTGACTTTGGGTGGTGGACACCCAATGCAATATGCAGATCATGTATCATAGAAATGTACACTTGAAATCTATATATTATTCACCAATGTCATGCCAATAAATTTAATTTTGGAAAGAAAAAGCTATGCATTCCTATGCAGGAAGACATCAAATGCCACACAGATAAAGGCTATTAATGAAAGGCAACATATTATAGCTGACTTCTTCACACTTTTAAGTCAAACTAAGTTTTATACCTGCTCAGCTCAGCCACATACTTGCTTTGCACACTTATTCTTTTTTAAAAAATTTACTTATTTTAAAGATTTTATTTCTTTTTAGACAGAGGGGAAGGGAGGGAGAGAGAGAGAGGGAAACATCAATGTGTGGTTGCCTCTTGCATGCCCCCTACGGGGGACCTGGCCTGTAACCCAGGTATGTGCCCTAACCTGGGCATCGAACCTGCGACCCTTTGGTTCTCAGGCCCATGCTCAACCCACTGAGCCACACCAGCCAGGGCACACACTTATTCTCTCTCTAAGCTTAAGGTTCTATGAAATGAAGGGGTGGAACCTCAAAGATCTCTTGCAGTTTCTTTTCTTCCTTCTAATTAAAAAATGGTGGCAGCCTAATATGAAGACATGAGTATAAAAGTATTAAATGTTTATCTTAGAAGAAAGAGAAGAAAGCATTCACACAGCTTGTTTTTACTGGATTCAGTAATTTGGTAACAGCCTTCTTTGCTATCACCTGTCATAAATACAACTGATAAGCATGAAATATAATATGTGTTTAAAGAATAACTCCATCTTCATATCAGTGTACTGGAAATAAGAGTAAAGAAATAAATACTGTTTTTCTTAAAAAAAAAAAAAAACAAGAAGAGGCAACCATCTGATAAAGCCAAAGTAGTTTATATTTCAAAATCCAAGTAGTTTTTAACCAGTTACCATAGTAAGCCAGAGCCCATTTTAAAAAGAAATAGAAAAATCCTGTTACCATCTTCCGACTACACAAACATTATCTCTAGCCTAGCCAACATTAAAAATGCTGCCATCTTCATCCAATCACATTAAAATCTTCCTTTCGTTCTATTCACTGTTAGACCCTATATTCTTATCTTCAGTAGAGCTCCTATTGTAATTATTTATCTTGTCCTGAGATACACATGCATGCATTCTCTCATGGTTGGTAAACCCTAAATAAAATTACCATGCAGAGTCCAGTTTCCAGAACAGCAGGACACGGGCTTATTCACTAAGCGCATGCTGGATTATTGATATGAACATTGGGTTAAGAATTACAACACTGCAACAGAACAACAGCCTACTCACAGCTCTTCTGAAGTGGCCCTACGAGTGATGCTATAGTGATTAAACTGGCTCACCATCATCTTTAAGGGTAAGACATGTCTCCTGAATATTGCTGATGTCTCAGAAAGACTCCTGAAAGTATGCCATTTCTTTCAACCTTTAAAGAAGGTTGCAACTGCCAAGTATAGGGTTGCTATGTTCCCCAAAGAGATAATTTATGTAAATCTGCTCTATGAAGAGCAATGTCCTACATATATATTGAAGAAAGTCCATCATTCTCTCTTTCATAAAGGATCTCTTTTCACCTACCAAAGCTGCTAAACTTGGAGAGTATGGAGAAGAAATTACCTTTCTCTGCTATATCTTTTAGAATTTTCTTCAATTACATTAGTCAATAGTCTCTCTTCCCAGTCTTTCACTATATTATGTTTGCCCTTTTCTCCCAGAATAGCAATGTATTTCCCCATTTCTTTCTTTTATCCCATGTTAACTCTACTTCTGAATCAAATGAAATAGGAATTTCAATATCAAATAAAGAATGTGCATGACAGATCTTTCCTCAAATACATAGACATGAATGAATGCTACTGATGCACAGCATGTATCACAGGTAAAAGCAACAAAACAATACAAACCCACATGCAACAATTGATGCCATGACTTACCTTCTGGCTCACTCTCTGACCCTGAGAGACTGCCATAGCTGCTCATTAGTGAGCACAGGGCTGGTGTCACTTCCTTGGGTATGACAGTACTTTGTGGTTTCTCTTCTTTATCAGACTCTGAAATAGAAAGGAAAATAAGAGTAAAACAGTACACCAAAAACATCTACCACCATAAAAAGAAAGTTGAAATCCCCTCACTCCCTCATGTGTTAGTAGAAAGTAATTTCTGATCATATCCCAAATCTTCTCAAAGAACAAAACCAAACACATACAAAAATTTTCCTTTTGGTTGAAATCTTCATGGTCAGAGAAGCCATCTGCCCCAAAGAGAAGACACAGGGGAAATGGAAGCTATACACAGCTCTGTTACTCACCATACTTCACAGGGTATGAAACCTAGGCCTTCTTTAAACTATCTTAATTATACAATCTTTACTATTTGTTTATTTTATTTATGCTATTAATTAGTTTTATTAAGGTACTAGAAAGGCCAGAATTTATTTAACCTCACTAGGTTAGGATAATTAAGTCTAAAAATTAGATTTAAGAATAAAATATAAAAATACTCACCTTTGTTGTTTTTAAGACTGGTTTTAAGGACAGAAATAATGTTTATGCCATTCTATAGATAAAGACTTAATCACAGTTTTGCTGAAATTAATCAGCTGAAAGTTTTTATTATTTGAAACTTCTAAGAACTTAAGTAAACAAGACAAGCATGAGAATCGAGCAAGTCTTCAAGAGCCTGCCAAAGATAAAGTGTCTGATCATAGCCCAACAAGCATTTGTTTTTGGCAGCTCTAAAAGTGTATTAATTCTATTCAAACAACCAATAAAAATAAAGCACTATGGAAGAAATGAAGACAACAGTAACCTGTTTATGTAATGAACTAACTCAACCCGCAACCAATATGAAATGTTTCAAGTCAGTATTTAATGTTTGCCAGTTCAATCTAGGTGGAACCTAAACATGCCAGTATGAAATGAGAGTGCACTTTTCTGTGAATAACTACCACCTTCTGGTGGTTGAAGTTAAATCCTCCTTCCTCCACCCATCCACACTGCCAGCAAACCATCCAAAAACTGCTCCTTGTCAATTTTAAGCTAACATATCCCCTATTCTCCTGGGTTAATAAAGGGAAAGCAAAATATGTAGCTTAGACAGACAGATAATTAGTATAGATACATATCAGTGGATTAAACAGAAATCTTCCTTGATATTAGTATGGAGACTCTTCATCCCACTGTTTGAACGACAATAGGCCAAACCATATTATTCTCTCTAAGACCCAAAGAGAGATACCAAAAAGTATAAGGTGTTCTTTACAAGCATGAGCACATTTCATCCTTATGAGATATCAATTTCAGTATTAATTATAGGTGATGAAACCAAATTCAGAGAATCTGAGTAACTTCCCTTCAGGTTACAAAACGATACAGCAGTTGGGTCAAATTTAAGTCCTAGCTATCTAACCGCAAATCCCAATTCTTAACTAGTGAGCTAGATCTCCTACATTTATTCTCTTCTTAAAATGAAGCCCTGCTATCAAAATGTCTCTTTGGTCAATAATAATCCTATTAAATGTCTTCTTCCAGCTATAGTTCCATTTCTCTGTTCCCTTTTACAGAACAATTCCAAACAACTATTTGATATAATCACCAGGAAATCATCTGGGCCTGAAATTTGTCCTCAGCTGTCTGACCCACTTAAGCGTCTACTCCAATGTGTCTTTCAGGCCTGCCATGCCAGTGAAGCTTTTCCTAACAAGTTCACCTGCTTCCTCTGTGTTGCCAAGCCTAGAGGTCATTTCTTGGCTCTCATCTTATTTCATTAAAGACAACATTTGACAGTAACCATGTGTTACTTTTAAAAACACATTCTTCATGTGGCTTCCAGACCCCCATCACTTGGCTTTCCTTTCCCAAACTCCCTACTGAATTCTCTTCATTGACCAACTTCCAATTTTTTCAAGTGTCCCTGGTTTCAATCTTCAGTGAATCTTCCTCTTTATGCCTCCCCTCTTATGATTTCATTTTATCTAAAATCTTAAATACTATCTACATGCTGGTGAACCATAAATTTATAACTCCAGTCTTATGTTTCCCCCTAAATTCCAGAATAATATAAGTGCCTGTTCCATACCACTACCTAGAGGTCACAAAGGTCTCAAAGGTTAACAGGTCCAAAAACAAGCATTTGACTTTTACTCCAAACATGACTTCCAGAAGTATCCACCTCAATAAATAACAAATCTTACTCCTCAATGTGTCAAAATCTAGCAATCATCCTTAACTCTTTCTCTTACACACTACATCCAAAGTATCAACAAATGATGTCAGCTCTATTTTGAAAATACCTCCAGAATCACACCCTTCTTATTACTTCCACTATTACAACCCCAGTCCAAGTCAACATTTCTTCCTGGACAACTGTAACGGCCTCCTAAAAGGTATCCCTCTCATGACCCTGCCCACTGCTCCCTACAAGCTATTCTCTACATAACACACAAACAAGATCACATCACCTTTCTGCTCAACCTCAGAGTAAAGTCTCAAGTCATTTCCTGGCCTACAACACCCTACTTGATCTGGTCCTTCACTATCTCCACTGAAATACTACCACTTTCTTTCCTGCTCACTCCACTCCAATCTGACTGTTCCCTGAGCGCATGAAGCATGCTCTCACCACAGGGCATTTGCACTTGTTCCTTTCTATGCTTGAAAGCTATCCCCACAGGTATGAGCTCCTAACTTTATTCAGATTTCTTAGTGTCACCTTATCAGAAGTGCCTTCATTGACTTTATAAAATAGCACACTCCGTTCTTTAACCATCATTCTCTATCCTTTCCCTTAGCTTTACACATCTTCCCATCATTTATATCAACCCATAAATTTACTACATCCACCCCCAGGCAAGACCATAAGCTACAGGAGAGGAGGAGTTTGGCTTTGTTCAGTATTATATCCTTAGAGCCCAGAAAAATGCTCAACAAATACCTGAAGAACAAACCGTTGCATGAATAAAGTCAAGTTCAAAAAGAGTAACTTGTACAGATGACAGAGCTGGGAAAAGGTAGGGCTACAGTGGAAGCCTAGTTCTGTCTGGATTCAAAGCTCATTTTTTTTCTCTTTTTGTTTTATGAACATGATTCCATTTTTATTTAACAAAATAAAATACATGTTAATAAGAAAATATTTCTGGAAGGATATACAACAAAATGTGAGCAGTGGCTATTTCTGTAAGTTAAGAAAGTTGTTTTTTATTTTGTGCTTTTTTGTCTTTCCTCATTTTCTGCATTGCAATCAGGAAATAATAGAAAAAAATAAAGAAATAAACCCTGGAGGAACATGTTACCTCACAATTCAATTCAAAAAGTGGTGGACAAGGCTTTAATTGCCCTACATAACTCCTCCCCTTCCCTCTTTTTTGATATTTTGAAACAATATTAAATTTACACGTGTTACAAAGATAGTTTTCACAGACCCTTCACCTACTTTCCCCTAATGTTAATATCTTATACAACCACAGTACATTTACCATAGCTAACAAATTACACTGATATAATACTATTACCCAAATTACCAACTGTACTGTAATTTCACTAGTTTTTCCATTAATGTCCTTTTTTTATTCTAGAATCCAATCCTCTATATGACACTGTATTCTGTCCTCACAACTCCTCATCTGTGTCTCACCAATTTATGACAATTTCTCAGTATTTCCTTGCTTTCATGGACTTGACAGTTTAAAGACTACTGAGAAGTTATTGTAGAATACCCCTCAGTGTGGGTCTGTCGGGTGTTTTCTGATGATAATGCTAAGACTATAGATTTTAGGTAGTGCCCTTACATCATGTCATATCAGGGTCCGTGATACCAACATGACATTACTGGTGATGTTAACCTTGACTACTTGGTGGTCTGCCTGGTTTCTCTACTGTAAAGTTATTCTTTTTCTCTTTGTTATTCTACTTCTTGAAATGAGTCACTAAGACCAGCCAACATTCAAAGGGATGGGAAATAAGTCTACCTCCTAGAGTAAGGAATATTAACAAATTTTGAAGATATGCTAAAACCACAGTATACCCTATTTTACCTAAAAGTGTTGCCTCCAATTTTACTGTTTATCAATAGTTTTTGCCTGAAACAATTATTACTGTGGTGTTCTGATGGTGACTGCCTGTTTCTCCCTAACCTCTTAGAATTATTAACTGAAATTCTTCTATAAAAAGATTTGTCCCTCTTCCCCCATATTTATTTATATCATTGCGGATTCAGGGATACTTATTTTATTCTTTGGGTTATAATCTATGATTATTTATTTTGTGGCTCAAATTGCCCCAACTTTAGCCATTGGAAGCCTAGTCCAGTTGGTCCTTATATCCTTCTGACATGCCCAACTCCTGCTGATTTTGAGCACTTTCTTACTTTCTGGCACTACATTAGATCTTTTAGGCTCATTTTGTATTCTCCCTGTCCCAAACCAGTCATTTCTCCAAAAGGCTCCAGTCTCTTTAATCAAAGAATGGTAAAACCACAATCTGGGTGCATGGTGCAGTCATTATTAGAAGTGTCCCAAAGTTCACTATACTTGACTGCTTCCCCAAGGGTAAGAGTTAGGAGTTCACACAAATGAACCACCACACGTAACAGCACTTTGAAAAGTGCTGCCCTTTTGACTTGATCAAAATGTTCTCCACAGTGACTTTTCATCTCAAAAGAAAATGCCTTTGCAAAGCTCCCCAGATCTACCTCACAGTTCTAACACAGGGATTTTTAGCAGCTGCCCTGGAAAGACTGCTGAAGGCACTGTGCTGGCTGACTGAATCATACTCAACACACTTCACTCGCTTTTTAATAAAAATAGCCGAAACATTTGTCTAAACTAGAAATATCAGTACAAAAACAGAAGCAATGAAAATGATAAAATCAAACTCTACAATCATTATAAAACAGCAGCTCAAATAATTTCTCTTACTGTTAAAACACCAGTGACACCTCCTATGGTAAATCTCACCTCTCTCATACATATCATGTTCCCACTAATCAAAAAAATAATACAATAATCTAAAACTTATCACTAGACCACAGGTGGTAAACATAAGGCCTGAGGGCCGAATCTGGCCCTCCACCTTGTTCTATCCCACCCAGCACCTTGTTTCTACCAGGTGGCAGCTCCGAGCTCTCACTTAACTATTAAGGAGTAGTTACATTTATAGTCTTAAAATTACATTCAGTCCTTTGAAGGCAACCATGAGGCTGATGTGGCCCCTGGTGAAAATGAGTTTGACATGCCTGCATTAGACTCTGAGTTTCCTGAAGGAAGCAAGAGACTTTTCTGAATTACAGTGCTGGGTAAGCAAAATATAGGACCTCGGTAAATCCCTAACGAAATAAAATTAGGGAAAAAAGTGCTTCTCCAATGGTTTACCCAACTCTAAACACTGATTTACGTAAAAGCTTCACCTCTGGCATCTTTCTATAACTTATTTCTTAACTTGTCTCTCCTCTTCCCGCTCCTACTACTTCCTATTGCCCTTCAGGAACAAGCACAGTTACATGCTCTAGCCTCAAGAACATTTACAGATTAAGTCTCCTAAGAAAATGCTATCTATTGAAAAAACTCACTCTTAAAAAATGGTAGATTTACTTTATGCTTTCCAACTCTCAAAAACAGATATTTTGAGGGTTTCCAACTCTCAAAAACAGTGGGCATTCATGACAGCTGATATACTAGGTTAGCTTCTTTTCTTACTTTAACATCTACCTTTTAAACAACAGAAGCCCATTTAGCCTATGTGTCAGTATGCAGACTGATGTCTGTCCTAGTGTTCTATAATATCTGTATTATAACAAATGACTAACAAACTGGATCCTTTTCATTTTGTTGATGATGAGGTACTTTAGTCTGTCATGCTCAAGAACACATTACTGACCAGCTCCTTTCTTTCTAGCTCAGTTAAAACTTATTAAAACCACAGGCCAAGAAAGCCATTAAACACAGATCATATTTAAAGAACAGCAACAAAATAAATGTAGCTCTAACAAATGAAATACCAAAAAGATTAAAAGAAAATCTAGTGCAAATAGGCCACACTCAAAACTGATCAGCTGGTAGACTCCAAATGACATGCTCTCCTTTTGAAACAATGTCAACCCCATGTTTAAACGTACCTCCACAATTAGTGAAAGTTGACATACTACCAAGTGTCACAAAAAGGAGGGCTCAGGTAAAGATTTTTCTAAGCACGATATGAGGTTTATAAAGATTCAGAACCACTGTCTTATTGAAAATGTGAATGATGAAGTCTGGATTAAGATTCTGAGCCAAAAAAAGGCAAAAAAATGTAAGAAATTAGGAGATCTCCAGGTTGAAAGTAAGCTTAGTGCTAAAGAGTGTTAACTGCCATGTGAGAGCAGGAACAGGACTGTATCACCATGCTGCCCTGAAAACTGCAACCTGAATAACAAGCACACCCCTAGATCTGACTGGCTCTGGCCCAAGGTGAATGACGCTGCCTCCAAACAAGTATAAGGCTGATATGTTGGAGAGTGGAGAGGCTAAGGATACTAAGTATTTAGGGCATGTGAAAAAAAAATGGTACAGGTGGTTTTCTGTAGCTCTACCTGAAATGAAAAGTTGAGGAAACCAACAGTCTAAATATTGATTTGGAAAACGTAAAAATCCAGAAGAAATTTGAGGTAAAGAGAACAAGAATTTAAATAGACTCTTTTCCACAAAGTGAGAATAAAAGGTATTTACTACTGTTGTTCATAACTAAAGTGTCTCTTAAAGACCTACCTACAGACTTAAATAAAAGCAAGATATATAATAATCTTTTCATTGGTATTTCACCATATTAACACATACTGAAATAGTTCTTTAAAAATGAGAACACAGAATTACCCACCTAGTAAAGCTAACAAAACAAAACAAAACAGAATACTAAATGTTAGAGTTCTTCAAATGTTCATTTATGTAATTATGAATTACATAATTTTCAAATTAGTAATTTACTAACTATAATGGTAGTCTTCATATTTGTGTTTCAAGTATTTTAATGACATGAAAGTTTATTTTTAGGTACAGATGGTGTTTTATCAGCAAGGTTGCACATTATAAATGTGAAGAAGTTTAGGCTGTAACATTTTTTGAAGGAAAAAAAAAGTGCCCAATAAGTAAACTCAGCAATGCCCAAAATGTCATCAGCCCTTTCCCTTGCTATCAGCAAGGGTAAGAAGATGCTTTTTCTAAATCCTCTTCCACACCTCAACTATCCCAGGCTCATGCAATTTATTTTTCAGATAAATTCAGACTTCACATTTAGAAGAGGTATGGTGGTGTACTAGTGCAGTCAGGCTCCTAAGTTCAAACTCCAGCTCTGCCACTAACTAGCAGCATACTAAGGTAAATCACATACCCTGTGTTCTTCAATTCCAAAATGGAAGTAGCAGCAGTTCATATGTAAAAGGTTTGTTATGAGGAAACAAGTTAACATATACATAAAGCTTTAAGAGCAGAGTAAACACCTTACTTAATAAGAGGTAGTTGGTGTTAAATGCAATCTTATGTTTGGCCAAACATTCTCTTATACCAAGATTGTTTCCCAACCAAGGTCAGTCAGTGCATTAGTATCTTCCTGTTTTTTGCCAGCTATAAGTTCAATAATTTTTCATGTGAAGCCACTATCTTCCAGGCTGAACAGAAGCAGCTAAGAGAAACCCAATATAAGCTCAGTCCACTCACTAATACTACTCCTTTGCAAAATAGAACACACATGCAATTTAGATGAAGTGTCTCAGTGCTACTGGAAGAAAAGGTGCTGGAAATATTTACATATACATTTTCATTTTTCAGAAGAGGAAATTGGGCCTCAGAAGCTAAACATCATCAAGATAGTAGCATTTTGGTCCTCCCAATTTTTTAACTTATAAGCAAGAGTAAACTTGCCCCATAGGTTCTAAAGAAAATTCAATGAATAAATATATTCTATGCCCTAAGGAAGAACATTACTCAACTACAATGAATTAATACTATTTACCCAAAGAAACTGTGTTCATGCTCAGTAGCATAAATAATACTAGCTTCCATTGGGATTACTAATTTATAGGCAAGACAAAATTCACATAATTGGGCAAATCTGAATCTATAGCATCAATACACTTTAAGTCCCAAGATTACATCATTCTGTGGAAATTATCCAACATATATTATCTTTCTTCCACATTCTGCCTACCTCATACACCCACCCACAAGGTTCAGAAAAGATGTCCTGAAATGAAGTTTTTCACAAGGGGTTCCTATAAAAAAAACAACTAAAGCAACATTCTACATTTTTACATATTTGCCATTAAACTCTCCACAAAACGATATCACTGTCTATACTTATAAACAGTTTTCCTGCTTAACTTACCAGAATCAGTATTTACCAAAACACTCAGAGGGTCTGCATTTAAATCAGAAGGACCTTCAGACTTCGAGTCACACAAGCAGTGGCCTGATCCAATGGCTGCTCTCTGTCCAAGTCGATCATTTTTCCATTTGTGATATCTGCCAGGACTTCTGATTTTTGCCATCTGTGAATGTCTGGACATTCCCTTCATCTTACTGGAGAAAACAAAGCAACTCAATATAAAAAACAATGACATTTCTTTCTTTCTTTTTCTTTTCTTTCTCTCTCTTTTTAATTCAGGGCCTACAGAGAAACAGATGTCCCACAGATGTGAGTTATATTTATTCCCCCTACTCTTTTTTTCAACATACTTTATTGGTTAAATAAAATATATTGCTATTTTACTTAATCAACTGCTATTACAATTGTCCCATTCCCCCCCCTTTCCCTCTGCACCCTACGTACACTCTCCCACCAACATTCCCTCTTTAGTTCATGTCCATGGGTCATACATGTAAGTACTTTGGCTTCTACATTTCCTTTACTATTCTTAACCTCCCCCTGTCTATTTTCTACCTACCATTTATGCTACTCATTCTCTGTACCTTTTCTTCTTCTCTCCCCTTTTTACTCCCCCACTGATAACCCTCCGTATGATTTCTATTTCTGTGATTCTGTTCCTGTTCCAGTTGTTTGCTTAGTTTGTGCTTGTTTTAGGTTCGGTTGTTAATAACTGTGAGTTTGCTGTCATGTCATTTTACCGTTCATACTTTTTATGTTGTTTTTCTTAGATAAGTCCCTTAAACATTTCATATAATAAGGGCTTGGTGATGATGAACTCCTTTAATTTGACCTTATCTGGGAAGCACTTTATCTGCCCTTCCATTCTGAATGAAAGCTTTGCTGGATAGAGTAACCTTGGATGTAGGTCCTTGCCTTTCATGACTTATAATACTTCTTTCCAGCCCTTTCTTGCCTGCAAGGTTTCTTTTGAAAAATCAGCTGACAGTCTTATGAGAACTCCTTTGTAGGTACCTGTCTCCTTTTCTCTTGCTGCTTTAAGATTCTCTCCTTATTTTTAATCTTTGGTAATGTAATGATGATGTGCCCTGGTGTGTTCCTCCTTGGGTCCAACTTCTTTGGGACTCTCTGGGCTTCCTGGACTTCTTGGAAGTCTGCCACTTTGCCAGGTTGGGGAAGTTCTCCTTCATTCTTTTTTCAAATAAGCTTTCGATTTGTTGCTCTTCCTCTTCTCCATCTGGTACCACTATGATTCTGATGTTGGAATGTTTAAAGATGTCCTAGAAGTTCCTAAGCCTCTCCTTTGTTCGAATTCTTCTTTCTTCATTCTGTTCTGGTTCAATGTTTCTTTCTTCCTTCTGGTCCACAACACTGATTTGAGTCCTGGTTTCCTTCCTGTCATTGATGGTTCCCTGTACATTTTCCTTCATTTCACTGAGCATAGCCTTCATTTTCTCATCTAATTTGCGATCAAATTCAAATAATTCTGTGAGCATCCTGATGACCAATGTTTTGAACTGTGCATATGATAGGTTGCCTATCTCTTCATCACTTAATTGTATTTTTTCTGAAGCTTTGATCTGTTCTTTTGTTTGGGCTTTTTTTTTTTTTTTTTTCTTGATGTGCCTGTTATGTAGTGAGGGGCAGAGCCTTAGGTGTTCACCAGGGCAGGGCAGCCCACGTGGCTGGGCTGTGATGCTATGTGCTCGGCTCTCTGCCAGTTTTCAGTCACTTCTCCCACTTCCTACAAGCAAATTGGACCTTTCTGCTGCTGATTCCAGGTGGGTGGGTTTGTGTGCATGCTAGGACCCTGTGGGTATCTCCAACAAACTCTCCTGTGAGGCTATAGTTTCTCCTGCTGCCTCCTCACCCCTGACCAGTGTTTTCAATCGGAGGTTTGAGGCTGTATTTCTCCATGCTGGAACCCTGGGTTGCATATTTTGTCTCACTCCCCAGTTGTTCCTCCTGGTTTATCTGCATGGGAATGAATGTGGGTCCGCCCAGTCCGCAAGCCACTGCATTGCTGGGTCCACCAGCCGCCACCTTGCCTCAAGTCCTCTCCACCTGGCTGCACATCTCTGCCCCTCCTACAGGTCTGGATGAATTTTCTTCTTTATCTCCTTAGTTGTCAGACTTCCATACAGTTAGATTTTCTATCAATTGTTTTTTGTTTTTAAATTTGTTGTTGTCCTTCTTTTGGTTGTGCAGGGAGGCACGGTGTGTCTATTTATGCCTCTATCTTGGCTGGAAGTGACATTTCTAAAAATACTGAAAAAGTCTATTGAATCTAAAGAAATATAGCTGTCAATCAATCACTTGTAGCCAGTTCATTAAAAAATACCAGAATAAAATAAATTCAGTGGTTTCCAAAGATAGAGAACTCTATGGAATAACTTTATAAGAATAACACATCACAATGGCTTATTTTATCAATTTCAAGAAGACCACTTCCTCCCATATTTTGACACTTCTCAAATTGGGCTATGTTGTACAATCAACAGCAGGTGAATTTAACCGGCCACTTACTTTCATTCTCGTTGTACATGACATAAAAGGGTTTCTTAGGCTTTATAAAGTATATTAACTTTTGTCTATTCACATTAAGGAGCCTTAAAGTTTCTGAAGCATTTTCAAATATGCTGCCTTGTTTGAACTTCATGACAGCTCTTTGAAATTGATAAGATAGGTACTATTCACTGAAATTGATAAGATAGGTTTACAAGAGGATGAACTTACAGCCTGAGCAGAATTTCACAGCTACCTCAAATCAAATGCCCTCTTAACCACACTACAATTACACCCCTTAGAAGGAAAACAAATACTTATGTGAACATATTATAATGTAAACTCTGTGTAGAAAAAAAAGCCATTAAAAAAAAGTTTTAGCCCTGGACAGTGTGATTCAGTTGGCTGGGAGTCATCCTGCAAACTGAAAGGTTATGGGTTTGATTCCTGGTCAGGGCACACGCCTGGGTTGCAGGTTCAGTACCAGTCAGGATGTGTGCAAAAGGCAACTGACTGATGTTTCTCTCTCACATCAGTATTTCTCTCCCTCTCTTTTGCCCTCCCTTCCCCTCACTCTAAAATCAATAAGCATGTCTTGGGGTGAGGATTAAAACAAAAACAAAGAAAAAAAGGATTTCTGGCCAAGATGGAGGCATAGGTAGATATACTTTGCCTCCTCACACAACCAAAAGTAGGAGAACAACAAATTTAAAAACAAAAAATAACCAGAACTGACAGAAAACCCAACTTTATGGAAGTCTGACAACCAAAGAGTTAAAGAAGAAACATTCATCCAGACTGGTAGGAGAGGTGGAGACACGCAGCCAAGGTAGACAGGACTTGTGGCAAAGTGAAGGCTGGCAGATTGGACAAGGTGGCGGCTGGCAGAGTGGGCAGTCCCATATTTGTGTGCAGATAAACCAGGAGGAACAAGTGAGAAGGGATAGAGTCTGCACAACCCAGGGTTCCAGTTCAGGGAAATAACGCCTCAAAACCTCTAACTGTAAAAACCTATGGGGGTTGAGGCAGCAGAAAAAACTCCCAGCCTTAAAGAAGAGTTCACTGGAGAGATCCACAAAGTCCTAGAAGATACACAAAACCACCCACCGGGAATCAGCAGCAGAAGGGCCCAATTTGCTTGTGGGTAGGGGAGAAAGTGACTGAATGCTAGCAGAGAGATAAGCAAGCTGCAATGCTCCCTTCCAGATCCCTCCCCCACTTACAGCATCACAACACAGCAATGTGGGTAGCCCTGCCCTGGCAAATACGTAAGGCTCCATCCCTTAACTATGTAACAAGCATGCCAAGACAAAAAATATGACCCTACAGACAGAACAGCTCAGAGTACCAGAAAAAATAAAACTAAGCAATGAAGAGATACCCAACCTATTAGATGCAGAGTTTAAAACACTGGTAGTCAGGATGTTCACAGAAATGGTGAGTATGGTCACAAAATAGAGGAAAAAGTGAAGGATATGAAAAGTGAAATAAAAGAAAATATTCAGGGAACCAACAGTGACAAAAAGGAAACTCGGATTCAGATCAATGCTTTGGAGCAAAGGGAAGAAATCAACATTCAACCAGAACAGAATGAAGAAACAAGAATTCAAAACAATGAGGAGATGCTTAGGAACCTCCAGGACAACTTTAAACATTCCAACATCAGAATCACAGGGGTGTTAGAAGCAGAAGAGGAAGAGCAAGAAACTGAAAACTTAGTTGGAAATATAACAAAGGCAAAGGAAATAGACTTCTAGGAAATCCAGGAAGCTCAGTGAGTCCCAAAGAAATTGGACACCAAGGCACATCATAATTACATTAGCCAAGATTAAAGATAAGGGGAGAATCTTAAAAGCAACAAGAGAAAAGGAGACAGTTACTTACAAAGGAGTTCCCATCAAACTGTCAGCTGATTTCTCAAAAGAAATCTTACAACCAAGAAGGGGCTAGAAAGAAGTATTCCAAGTCATGAAATCCAAATACCTACAACCAAGATTGCTCCATCCAGCAAAGCTATCATTTAGAATGCAAGGGCAGGTAAACTGCTTCCCAGATAAAGTCAAGTTAAGGGAGTTCAGCACCACCAAGCCCTTATTACATGAAATGTTTAAGAAACTTATCTAAGAAAAAGAAGATCAAAAATACTAACGGTAAATTGACAACAAATTCACACCTATCAACAACCAAAAAAAAGCCCCCAAACAAAAATGGCCTAAGCAAACAACTAGAACATGAACAGATTCACAGAAATAAAGATCACTTGGAGAGTTATCTGTGGGCGAGGGGAGAAAATGGGGGAAAAGGTACAGAGAATAAGAAGCATAAATGGTAGGTACAAAATAGACAGGAAGAGGTTAAGAATAGTATGGGAAATGGAGAAGCCAAAGAACTTATATGTATGACCCATGGACATGAACTAAGGTGGGGGAATGCTGGTGGGAGAGGGTATACAAGCTGGAAGGAAATAAATGGGAAAAAGAAATGGGACAACTGTAATAGCATAATCAATAAAATATATTTAAAAAAGGGTTTATTACCTTCATTTTCAGTAGACTACAATACAAGATATCCTTTGGTGGGGTTGAGCTTTCACAAAGATACATACGAGATCTGTCTGAATAAAGTCCAGTCATTTTTTAAAAAACATTTTATTTATTTATCTTTAGAGGGGAAGGGAAGGAGAGAGGAA